TACAGTTGAATCAAATCATGTAGCTATATCTTCAAGGGATGGTTCAACAAAACATATACATTTAATCTACAAGGGGTTAATTCTGACCTGATAAAGTAATCCTTGATCAGCATGCCAACCCTGTTTATCCCTCTTGCATTGTTTTCCTCGTACATTCAGGCCGTATAGGAATCCATGCCACTGCAATTGAAAGGATCCAACCAAAGCTGTTCTTTAATTCATTGTTAAGAAACCGTTCACTGACTATATTTGATTCAACTGAAAGCAAAATCGCAGACAAAAAACACATTTGGAGTTCATCATATTCTAGTGTACTTCAAAGTGACAATTTATTTGTCCACATTCAAAGCAGAAATGCTCCACAACACAAAATCAGGTATCACTTTATTTTAAGTTGTCATTGTTACACAAGTTACATAGGCCTATAGCCTACTTACTATTATAATAACAATACATTATGCATAATTACATGCAAGTAATCCTAACCCTACCCATATAGTAAGTAGGCTACATGTAGTTCATTAATATGCCTATTACTCAGTACTTACAGTAAATGTATAATTACTCTGTTACAAGGGTACTTTAAAATCAAGTGTAACCCAAATTCACAGTGAATGTAGACATATTTTGTTTAATGTCCAGTGTTGGGGGTAACGCATTACAAGTAACGCGAGTTATGTAATCAGATTACTTTTTTCAAGTAACTAGTAAAGTAACGCATTACTTTTTAATTTACAAGAGAATATCTGAGTTACTTTTTCAAAGAAGTAATGCAAGTTACTTTTTTTTCCAATTTATTGATTGACAGCTCTCCTGTCCCCATGTTGAGAGAAATCAGAAGATGTTACTGTAGTTCTAAAATAAATATGAAATGCATGAATCTCACGACTAAACTGAGGCTTATTCATTTCACATTTGGTGTGAAAAGGCTTTTATATTTGCCAGAAATATAACTTTTTTCTATTTTAAAAACAAACAAGCAAGCCCTGTCCAGATTAAAAAAGTTACACAAAAGTAACTAGGTAACGTAATTAGTTACTTTTTTTATGGAGTAACGCAATATTGTAATGATTTACTTTTAAAAGTAACTTTCCCCAACACTGTTAATGACAACATGAAATGAATATGATATTTTACTGCCTTAGCTTGTCCCTCAGTCAGCACTTGTCCCCGTGCAGTGTACTCGCATGTAGGCTACTACTTCTGCGTTAGCTGGATGGACGTAGTGGTCACATCTCCCTGCAGTACGTCAGGAACACACGGTACTACATAAATAATTCACTTCGCAAACTCAGCATTTGCGTTGTTTCTGTTTGGCTCAATACTCTGCAGTTGTGGATGGAAATTCTGTCATCATTTACTCACTCTCATGTCATGTGACTGACTTTACAGTCGATACGATAGCCAGAGAATGCGGCAGGGCTGGGGAACAGGGGCGCTGCGGGAGCTTGTCATGCTACACGTGGCTCTACTCGTGGGTTGAAACGCCTCAGCCTGTGTGGTACTAGCAACATAATCCTAAAAAACAGGTCACAAGCACCATTGCTTACTTATAACCGCATAGCAGTTTCTTCTTATCGAGTAGGCCTAAATGCAGGCCTGAGGCAGAATCTTAATGTATTCTTCCCACAGTTTAAACCAAAAATGCCGCTAATTAGCGAAAGCATAAAAAGTAACTTAGTTCAAGGTTTGCATTAGTTTTCAGTTTTTCCCTCAAAAACACTAGCCTGGTCTGAGTCATGAATTCGATGAAGAAGTGTCACATCCAACTTCTAGGCTAACTTGGATTTAAATACGTATTTAAATAGTTAACTGAAATTGCTTTAAAAAGTGGACGTCGTTGCATAATTCTTAAATTGTTTAACTTTCAAAATCAAGATGACTTATTGCTTCAATCGTCGATAGTTGGTCGATCTAGTTCAATTAGCCCAAACTTGACTATCTTTTCAGCCACAAGAGAGCGCTGTTCTCAAGTCACTAACTGTACACTTTGCCGAAGTTCATATTCATTTAGCCTGAGTCAGACCATATTGTGTCCAAGTGATTAAATACGAGCCTAAGTGAGGCAGGCACACACAAAAAATTAAGTAGGCTATAAGAGGAAAAGAAGCTAAAATAAATTACAATAATGAGAAAAGACATTAGCCGATGATATTAGGCTACTGTGGAACTAGTCGCTTGGCATTACTGTGGAACTGCTGTTTTTCCAGGACTATTTTTTTGACTGTAGAGGAAGGGCATGTGAAGGAAATAGATATTTGGTTCTGGACAAATAAGAGTCACTGTTAGTTACTGTTGTCATGACTGCATAACAGTGCCCTCCTGTTGATGGTTTTCAGCCACATTATAATCAGTGAATAACTTGGACTGTATTCAAGTATTCTAAGTAAGAATACAATCAGTACTGTATGTGCAAATGGGAAGTTGGTGTGAGGTGATCCTTCCTTCTATTGAATGAATGAACAGTACAACTTAAGATTCTTTTAATGTAGTTTTGCTTTGAGTATAAATCACTGGGAGGGTTCTCACAGTATTCCAGTGTCAGATGTTACACTACTGCTGCTGTACTGAAGCCCAATGAGTGCTATACCATATAAGACCTTAGTAGGCCTTCTTAGAGCCCAGGGAATGTTCCCAGCTGTTCCCCTTGATGACAGCCCCACACAACTTGAATAAAAATAGCTTCTTGTGTTCTGTTTCCTCAGAAATGTTGAGTACACTCTTAAAAATAAAGGTGCTTCACGATGCCATAGAAGAACCTTTTTGTCTAAATGGTTCCATAAAGAACCTTTAACATCTGAAGAACCTTTCTGTTTCACAAAAGGTTCTTTGTGGCGAAAGAAGGTTCTTCAGATTATAAAAAGGTAAGAAAGAGATGGTTCTTTAAAGAACCTTTCACTGAATGGTTCTTTGTGGAACCAAAAATGGTTCTTCTATGGCATCGCTTGAAGAACCTTTTGAAGCACCTTTATTTTTAAGAGTGTAGCAGCGTAAGAGCCCTTATTTACTAGTGAAATACATATTTATAGTAGACCTTTCACATCATTTAAAGGACTGTAATGGCTTGTGGGAACTAAATATAAACACTGATTGCGGAATTACACTAGCTGGCAAAAGTACAGTCTGTTTCTTTACTGATTTTTTTTAGAAGGGATAGGCTTTTGTGTGTGTGTGTGTGCGCATGTTTGTGGTTTGAGGACACAAATTTGTATAATAACATGGGTATGACATAGGTATTACAACGAGAAGGTGATTTATGAGGACATTTTCAGTGTCCCCGTAATTCAAAAGGCTTATAAATAATTCAGAATGAGTTTTGAAAATCTAAAAATGAAGGAAGTTTCCTGTAAGGGGTAGGTTTAGGGGGTTAGGGTTGGTGTAGGGCAATAGAAAATATGGTTTGTACAGTATAAAAACCATTACGCCTATGGAGAGTCCCCATAAACCATAAAAACAAACGTGTGTGTGTGTGTGAGTGAGTGAGTGAGTGAAATTCATAACTGGAATAATCTTGTGCAATGAATCACTTTTGTTGTTAATGTAGTAACAAATGCCAAACAATAGCCTAAACAAATAATCTTTTTCTTTCATATTCAGAAAGGCAATTTTAGCCATTCTTTAGAGTATTCAAAGAAAGTAAGTAAAAAAAAAAAAAAGAAAGATAAAGATTTGTTTAATGAATATTAAATAAGAAACATGTTCACGAGTTATCCAATGTTAAATAAAAAAAAATTATATAAAAAGTGTCAGCTATGCTTCTCAAATTTAATGTTTACATTTTCACTTATTAAAAATATTAATTTAGCAATATATTTTTTACATCTTATTAAATAAAAATGCTTTCATGCTTTACAGTTCTAAAATATTTCTCTTATATGTTATATATGTTCTCTTATATCTTATTTCTCTATATGTCTCTTAAAATACATTCAATTCATACAAGCCAGGCTTTTAATGCCATGAAAAAATAATATTCTTCTCGTGCACATGCACTATAATGCATGCATGGGATAAGTACCGTCATGCGGAAAGAACAATCAGTGCATATTTCTGAACATTATCTCATAAAATGAGAGAGATGCATGTTGTTCCTCATTCCCAAACCAGCATCACTGATGAGCTCTGTAGCAGTCTGCCAATGTAACAGCTCGTTTACTACGTAATGTCCTGCAGGAGTAAGACAAGTGCTGAAATATTTAAAGTTATTGCTAAATTTTTAAATAACACTGGTCATTTTCATAAAGTTTGAAGGTGAACATCATGCAGATAAATCCCAGGTGTCATAAAACATTTAAATGTTAAACTTGTAGAGATGAAATCACCTGAATTAAGCAATTTAGTAATCTCACCCTGTCTATCCCCCTCATCATCAATAAAACAGAGAGTATGACAAAATACACAGGAGAAATGAGTTCCATAACCCAATATAATCACATCAGTAATTTTGATTGAATTAGGAAAGAAAAGAATATTAAACTAAAAATATTGTTTATCAGTGGTAAACATAAAGACAGCCGTAAATTTAAAAGTTTTAAAAGAAAATATGTCAAAAAGTCAACTGTGTAGGCTATTTTAAACCTCTGGGGTACAGGGTAGTTTAATCTTTTTCTCAATTGATTTTTTTTTTTTTTGATTAATAATCAATAGAGGTGTGAAATGTATATGAAAATATTGAAAAGTATGAAAAATATATATGAACGATATTGTTATTATCAAAACATATATAGATTCGTTAGTACTTTACTTGGGTATAATAGGCTATACAATTTTAATATAATAATATACAGTTATATTATAAACTATTGCAAATAAATAACTGCTGCCACTCTAAACTTTCAAGTAAGGAAATACAGTATTGCTATCTATCTTGGAGCGAGAAATTCATAAGGAAATTTCTTGTAGAAAGGCTGTTCAAGATTTCACTGTTCGAGGTCAGTTATAGTGATCCAGTTACTCATTAATGAATTCCTAGGTAAGTTCACCTCTGCGTCAGAGCGGAGTCCCTCAGCGCGTCCTGCTGTGCGCAGCGGGTAAAGTTGGGCGTTCACTTACCGTCCGCATGACATCACCTCGAAAGGGATTTCTCACACTCGGCCAGTCCCCTATAAATCCGGCTGTTATCTCCAACGCTGGAGTCACTGAGAGCACAGCCGCTGCTATCAAACACGGGACGTCTCGAAAACGGTCTAGCCTGTTTCTACCGCCATGTCTTCATACTCTCGCCGCGTCAGTCCCGCCGTGAGCGGCGTCAAGTTTGACACGGCGCACCGCAAGAAAGCGTCGCCGAACATCTTCGAGAACGTCAACCAAGACGTCCTGGTGAAACTCTTCGAGAAAGCAGGAGACCTGAAGGCGGTGGAGAGAGCCTGGAGCGTCCTCGCGCTGCACCAGGATCCCGAGGGCATCTCCAAAGCGCTCATGGCTCTTCAGCAGGACAAGAAGGACAAATGTATGCTCATTACCGGACTGACGCGCCAGTCGCTGAAGTTTCGTTGAGGGAAGTTTTCGTTGGGAAGCTGTGCAGATGTGTGCACGGAGAAAGAAACCGTGATCACTTATGCTGGAGCCTGGTGTTCCTCAAGGCTTTGTACTGAACTTGTGATGATGTCCTTACAGAGTCATGCTGGCGTGCTGTGAGAATACAGAGAGATGAGACTGGACTGATCCAGAGCTAGAAAGTTGAGCTTAAAGACACCATGGAGAACATTTGAAACATGGACTGATGCCATGGGTCAAATTTGCTTATGAAGAGATTCAGTATCAGCAGTGTCTATTGCCATGTAACAGTCTGCTTGGAAAAAAAATAATAATAAAATTGTTTTGATCATCTCATGATTCTTCCTTTTTCTTAAAATGTGTTTTCCTTGAGTATGAGTCAACACTCGGATAATAAAATGAGTGAAATATTTATAAATATTGCTGAAAGCATTTAGTGAATGGATGTCTGCAGGGTGGTTTCCAAGTAGTTTGCAGCTCCATCTGTTAAATTCAGAGTTGACAAAACAGCCATATTTTTTTATGAGCACATGCTTTAAATGTATTTGATTTTTTTATGTAGGCTACCAACATAAAATGAGGATAATAATGTAAAAATTCAGTGATAGAAAATATAGGCATAATTGCTTATTAGAATAGAAACTAATATTAATTATAATAGGCTAGTATCTTCAGGATGGAGACTGTTGCTTAATTTTTAATGTGTTAATAAATTGCCTATTCAGTCTAAATGAAGTAACTTATGATTTTCAGGTGCGCTCACATTTTTCCGTCAAGAATCCAGGTGATTGGGAATGTCGCATGAGAGAAACAATTCCCCATGCAGATTTCCTGTTGAGTTTATTATTATTATTGTTGTTGTTGTTGTTAATTCTTTTTTTTTTAAAATATATTATTATTTTCTTTTTTGCACACACATTTGCCCCTTTTACCAATAAAATGCTGCCTGGCTTGAAAGTGAGCTGTGCTTCGTGTTACACTATTGACAATAAAATAGGCCAATCTTTTTGCCGGTGAAATTTCGATAATGTGACCTCACCTTTACGTGTGATTTTAGGGTCATATAGGCAACGTGAAATCATAATGTCTTAAGTTTAATTAAATAAAGAGACTTTAAATAATCTCTCTAACCTCAAGCTTAGGTTACTGTATAAGCCTACTTAAGGCCAGTTCACACCAGTGGACAATAAGGTTCTAAGCGAGCTGCAGTTCTGTCGTTTGCCCCTTTAAAAGCTCGAGATCTTTATAGTGAATTCTGATTGGCTGGCAATGTTTTATCATTCATCAGATCGTTCTGAAAGTGATTCCAAAATATCTTTATAGATGTGGTGGGAACTTCCCATTCTCAGATTTATTGGTTCTTTAGTAGGCTAATGAATAAAGTACAGTCAAGGTATTATATAAAACAGGGGTGCCCAATCCTGTTGGGTTGGAACTGAACTCTGCAGGTAGGTAGATCTCCAGGACCAGGATTGGGCACCCCTGATATAAAACAACTTTTAGTGCAAACATAGTAAATATATTCCAGACAGATAATCATTTTCCTTTACACTTTCTATTAATACATTTTTAATTAAGTTTGTAAATTAGTCAATAAGACTTGTTGGACATTTGCACTCAATGTAGAAAGAAATATGTTTTCAGAGAGAGAAAAAAACACTGACAATAGTCGTGTAGGCCTGAGAGCTAGTAGGCCTATTGTTTTATAGTTAGTATACTATTTAATGCGAGAAATCTTTTCAGCCAATCTTTCACACTAAATCAGCAGAGTCCCAGCAGATATCATGGAACTAATCGTGTCTGTTCTCTGAGATAAGGGTGTTTTCTGATGTTGACTGTTTGAGCCGCCCGTTGCTGTTATCCATCCGCAACAGTCCGTTACTTCTAGTTTAATCCAGTTTTCACATGCTCTTAAAGGTAGATGTCAATGTGGGTCAGAAATATGAAATTGTTTTTACCAAGTAATAAATAGCATATGACCTATATTATAAGTTTTAATTTTCAAGAAGACTGTTGGTAGTGTGGCCCTTCTCACATGCTTTATTTGAGACAGAAAAGCAAAACGGTTTTACCAAAATTACGTTTAGAGACCAAAACTATTGTTTACTGTTGGATTGACTCTATAATGAAGTTAAAAGCTCAGATTTTCTCTGTCTCTAGAGGTATTATTACTACAATGGCAGTTTATTTACAGTCAAACAGAGGATCACATTACCCTGAGTCTAATCCATCTGTCTACACTCATTTAGTCTGATTTAAAATACTCTCAGATTACTTTGTTTTTACAGACCCAACCACATTAAAGTGATTTGAAGCCAAGAAAGCTGAAAGTAGACTTTTCAGGTATATATTCTCAAAAACACCAGTAAGGTGGCAGCAAGGTCTTGTGCAATAATTATATTTATAAATGCATTATACATTTCTAATTATTATTATTAGAAATAACCTTGTTTATAACCTAATAATATTATTGTATTTATATGTATACATTTAATATATTTACAGCTGAAGTCAAAAGTTTACATACACCTTGCAGAATCTGCTAAATGTGAATTATTTTACCAAAGTAAGAGGGGTCATACAAAGTGCATGTTATTGTTTATTTAGTACTGACCTGAATAAGGTATTTCACATAAAATATATTTATGTATAGTCCACAAGAGAAAATAGTTGAATTTATAAAAATCACCCCGTTCAAAAGTTTACATATTTGATTCTTAATACTGTGTTGTTACCTGAATGATCCACAGGCTGTGTGTTTGTTTATTCATTTATTATTATAGTTTTTTTTACTGATAGTTGTTCATGAGTCCCTTGTTTGTCCTGAACAGTTAAACTGCCTGCTGTTCTTCAGAAAAATCCTTCAGGTCTCACACATTTATTGGTTTTCCAGCATCTTTTGTGTATTTGAACCCTTTCCAACTGTATGATTTTTAGATCCATCTTTTCATACTGGGGACAACTGAGGGACCCATATGAATTTTTTTTTATAATTTTCATAAATTATTATTATTTTTTTTTAATTTCAGGGTAAATTTCACTTATTTTGTCCTCTGGCAAACATGTAAATATGGGCAGTACTAAATGAAAAATATGATATTTAGGCAAAATAAAAATGTACACATTTTCAATCTGTTCAAAAGTTTTTTTGTGAAAGGCTCTTAATGCATGGTTTTTGCTTCTGGAGCGTCAGTAAGCGTTTGAACCTTCTATAATACAGTAGTTGCATATGAGTCCCTCAGTTGTCCTCTGTGTGAAAAGATGGATCTCAAAATCATACAATCATTGTCGGAAAGGGTTCAAATACACAAAAATGCTGGAAAACCAAAGAATTTGTAAGACCTGAAGGATTTTTCTGAAAAACAGCTGACGGTTTTAACTGTTCAAGACAAACAAGGAACTCATGATCAACTAAAAAAAAAAACACACATCTGTGGATCATTCAGGTAACAACACAGTATTAAGAATCAAGTGTATATCAACTTTTGAACAAGGTCATTTTTATAAATTAAACTTATTTTCTCTTGTGGACTATATGCAAATATATTTTATGTGAAATACCTTATTTAGGTCAGTACTAAATAAACAATAACATGCATTTTGTATGAGCCCAGGTAAAATAATAAACATTTTGCAGATTCTGCAAGGTGTATGTAAACTTCAACTGTATATTTATTAAAATTAATTTAAGTAAATTACATACATTTAATAATAATAACAACATCAGTTGTTGTTGTTATTATTATTATTATATTATTATTATTAATAACCTTGTTTATTACCTAATAACTTTATTGTATTTGTAAGGATCCACCCGAAAGCGAAGTCTAGCGGCCTGGTTGAAGGTTGAAGGTTTAATGCGTGTTCGGTCTTTTACTTGCGCCTCTGAGTTTATCAGGATTTAGTTTAAATTTTAGTCTAGCTCCGTGTTCAATCTACCTCCAATTTCAAGTGATCATTAAATGTAGGCAATATTTCTAATTAAAAACTGATTACAAATATCGATTGTGTATTAATTGAGATATTTGATTATTCTGGAAATCCCATACTTTCAATTATTCGTTCATTAACGACCCAGTGTCGCTTAGAAGTTCACTTGGCCAACAGTGAACGCACGGCACTAACTCGCCAGTTCTGTACTTACTCAGGATACAGGGTGATTATAATACCTTTAAGTATGCCACACCCTGCAAGCAAATAACAAAAAGTGTATTTTTTCTATAATCACGAAAACTGCAACTTAAGTCAGTGACAGTCAGAAATTGGAAGTCCCTAAAGATGTCCCCCATGGTCCATTCATTGGTACTTCCGTATGATCTGTCCTGGACGCAGATTTGCAGAAACACCAGACGACACTTTAATCTACTAGAAATAATGATTTCAGAAGAGATCAGAATAAGTCAAACATAACAATGTATTATTAGTCAGGTAAAGTTGTATCACGTGATTATAATACCTTTAAGTATGCCACACCCTGCAAGCAAATAACAAAAAGTGTATTTTTTCTATAATCACGAAAACTGCAACTTAAGTCAGTGACAGTCAGAAATTGGAAGTCCCTAAAGATGTCCCCCATGGTCCATTCATTGGTACTTCCGTATGATCTGTCCTGGACGCAGATTTGCAGAAACACCAGACCACACTTTAATCTACTAGAAATAATGATTTCAGAAGAGATCAGAATAAGTCAAATATAACAATGTATTATTAGTCAAGTAAAGTTGTATCACGCCAATTACATAACAAACAATTAGAAGCCAATTCAGAGTTAAATTCAGTTCCAATTCAAATAAATGCATAACATTGATTGCTCAAAGATTGAATCTAAGAAATGCGTACCTGACAGCAGAGAGACACACACAGCAGTATGTGAGTTCTGGTGCAAAGCTCCAGAGATTCACATACACTGTGAGGGGGTTTTCTGGCTACAGAATCCCCAAGTAGTGTTTTGTCACTTCGCTTATACACCCAGAACAGAAACAAAGAAATCTTCAAATCAGTTTTAAAAACATAAAATACCTTTTGGTTTGCTAGGATCTCGTGGCCCAGGGTCGCACCTGGCTGGAGATAGGGAAACATTCTCATAGACCCTGAGGGGGACACACCCCCTCCTCAGCAGAACACAATTCTACATAATATATATTAGGTGAAATTGAGACCATTTTACCAATCGCACAGAGACCTTTAGAACGATAGCAAATAGAAGGGGAAAAAACAACAGGTTCACAAGATATGTGGTATATACATATTTGAAACCTTTTGGGGGAAAAAGAGTGAGAGAGGGCAGAGGGGCGAAAATGAGCAAGGGGGTGGTGTTGTTTGCTCTCTTTGGACCTTTTGGTTTGCTAGGATCTCGTGGCCCAGGGTCGCACCTGGCTGGAGATAGGGAAACATTCTCATAGACCCTGAGGGGGACACACCCCCTCCTCAGCAGAACACAATTCTACATAATATATATTAGGTGAAATTGAGACCATTTTACCAATCGCACAGAGACCTTTAGAACGATAGCAAATAGAAGGGGAAAAAACAACAGGTTCACAAGATACAAG